TTGGCTTTTTGCCAATTATCTGCTGTGGTTTTCCAAGTTTTTCTGTTTTTTTCAGGTATGATCCGGAATCTGATAATGTTGTTGTTTGCATGGACTGTACATTCAGCGATCGACGCTGGCCACTGGGCAAAATTGAGCAGCCATTGCCTCTCAACATTCTCCTCTACCGGTATTTCGCGCAATTTTTCCTGGATGGTTCGGTTTGCCCTCGATTAGCAAGCTTCACGGATAAACTGTTGCTTTCGCCATCAGCGATGACCAAGTCATGGGCCAAGTTGCAGAAACGGACCGAAACATTACTGAATGCATTGATTCTGCATGAGGTTGGCTCTCTTCAACACTTTCTCATTATTTTGTTCATTTCTGTTTTTATGCTTTTTGTGCTGTACAACAGCTGCACAAAATGCATATTGTCACGGGGTTGTCTGTCTGTGTGTTTGTATGTGTGTGTGTTTGTGTGTGTGTGTGTGTGTATGTATTTGTGTGTATGGTGTTCGATACATATTATTTTACATGTCGAACCTACAGTCGTTGTAAGTTCAGTGAACAGATTCATCTATATAATCGTTTGGCCAGTTTTGTCTTGATTCGCAAATTAACCAAAATTTCCGTCTAACGTCGTGATTTAGAGTAAAAGTGAGACATGGAAGAATTGATTTAGGGTACTCAGATTGTTCAGAAAAAATGATAAGCTTTCACATCTTGATTCTCGAGATACTGAAATGATAAATAATGGCCATTCGAAGGCCGATTCAGAAATGAACGGTCCAAATGGGGCGGCCGAAGCGGGTTAAAATGATAAAAAATTTTACTGAAATCATGGATTAAATCACGATGAAACTCGAAAGATGATTTCGGATCTGCAGCCTTTTGAGCTGGGAGATTCAAAGATGCATCTAGTCCAGGGGTTACTTCAGCAGAACACCAAAAATTTTGCTGATATGCGAAAACTCGTGCAAACAGCATTCTTAAAACTGAAAGTTTTGCTTTTGTTCATTGTTAATGTATCTCTTCGCTGCAGGTGCACAGTCGAGCACGTTTACTGGATATCTGGAAAAGCAGGAGCGAATTTTTGTTGGACGAATATCTCGAGTGGCTTCCGCACTTCCTGCATGAAAGCGTTCAAATGATCTGGCCGCCCAGTTGATGTATTCTCCACTCAACCGAGTTATCGTTGTTTTGAAAATTCCGATTTTGGGAAAGTGCCGGTGATTAAAGATATCATTACCTGTTGCTTAGTTTTATTTTCGGTATATTTGTTTTTTGATTTTTTCGCTTTCTTCTTCTGTATTAGTTTTTTGTTATTTTTTCGTATTAATTTGTGCCTTATTTGGATGTGAGTCACTAGTGGGCATGGCGCAGTGGTAAGCACCCGATGACCGGGGGTTCGATCCCCGCCACTGGCACAGCCAATCCTTCCATGTTCGTTTCAGTAGTAAACAGCTACTGCGGTATGTCAGGGATTCATATCTGTCATTAACTTCTTTCTAAGCAGTCTTTAGCAGAGCGTCTCATGAGCGGCTGTACCAGCGAATGGTTGCTTTTTGCACTTGCTACTACTCGAGCTACTTCCGATTGCCTCAGCTTCTCACAGCGAGTGAATAGGGAGGGAGTTGTTACTTGTGTATGAATCATGCTTTTTTGCTTTCTCAACTTTAAAAAATTGTTTTTTACTTATTTAATTGTGTTTCTTGAAGTATTTTTTTTTTTTTGATTGGAAGCACTTTGTAAATTGTTGTTAAAATTGTTAAATATAGAATTACTATAAAAACATCGTAATAATGTTACTAGCTATGCGTTTTTTTAATGTTGACGCATTAATTTCTATATTTTCCGTTTCCATACGCTGAGTAATTGAAATTTAGTTGGCCGGTGTATAATTGATCTGTGAAGAAGTTCCGGCTGTATAGATGAAGAACCACATAATGAATTAACAGCTTCTATCGGTAAATAAACCCTGGCTAATTAAAGAGAAAGGCATAAGCCACAATCTTCAGCCGGAGTTTTGCACTTTAAGAAGTTGCCGATTGACCGGACTTCACAGCAACGCTGAAAATGTGAAACTGAGATACTGTTCAAACTACCGCTGTGCTGAAGGCAATGACGTACGAATGCGAAACGTGATCACTGACAGAAGCAGAAGAGCAAATGCTGGCTTTGACAGAGAAAGCGATGGAGCGAGGGATGCTTCATGACTACAGAAACGATCAAGCTCTTCATCAAATATGGGAATGCGTATTACGAATACATGTGGGAAGAGTAGTTCGATGGAAATTATATATTGCTTTTTCTTTTGAAAACTGATCGGCCTTGTGTCACTGGAATGGTATTTACGAGAAAGTAAACGACCACTCTCAGCAAACGACTGGGTACCAACTGGAAGTGCTCAACACGGGATCAATTATTAGCATCATTAACATATGATCTTATATTGATTATCTGGGAATTGATTGTGCTTATTTGTCACAATCAATTGGTGAATGTTAGCATTGTGTGATCCATTGTAAATACC